GATTGATGGTTCTATTCAAGTTTTGCAAATGTATCTTATAAGCCTCACATCAACTAGAGGTAACTATTACCTCACCATTCACTAAACCCCTAGACTTCCACTAAATCAACATAACAAATTAGTCAATGGACGGATAGGATTGCGGTTAATGCTCCATAAGAAGCAAAGCCACACAATTCTAAAGACTCGAGAAGGACTCGAGCTATATACTATTAACGTCAATTGATCCTTGTCTATAGTAAAAAAAAATTAAAGGATCATTAAGCACCGCAATAAAACATCAAATTTAGTATTTTAATTTAACACTAATTTATTTAGAAAATTCACACTATTACCATTAAATCACCATTCATACACTATGCTATATGTATATAGAGGTACGGATAAGTTTCATAAAAAAATTCATAGAATGGTCTTTGGGGAGATATTTTCGATCTATGGCCGACCATTGCCATTGCCATTGCCCATTAGGTAGTAGAATGTCCGTAGCTACCACTACCACTCGTGGACGATGGTACGTTTATGGCCAACCGCTACCACTATCCACTAGGAAGTGGCCATCAACGATCGGTGGTAGTGCCCACTCCCACCGGCCATCCAAAGTCGGTGACAACTACCCACTCCCCACTAGCAATGGTAGTGGGCCAATTGCCATCCCCATCTAGAATGTAGCCGGACCGACCTACGTCTCTACACTTTAATAATGTAAAAGCAAGAATGCCAAGCAAGTAAGCAACAATTCAATTTCAAGTATTCAACAAAATAAAAGCAATAATTCAACATTCCCAAATTTTCATGTAAAATCAGTAAAACTATTTAAAAAAACTCCCATAACCACAAGTAGCCAAGTTCGAGCAAAAGGTTCACCATTATAAAGAAAAGAAAAAAATGTCAATTTTATAAAATATAAAGACATTTATAAACAAATATGGATATAGACAAACATGATTCATTAGAAACTTACCCATGTCACTCAAGAACTCAACCCACCATCAATTCATCATATATCTATCATAAATGCATCCATTAAAAGTTTTAATAAATCTGAAAAAAAAATCAATACTTTAATATTAATTTATAAGGAAAAAAAAAACAAATAAAAATATAAGAATTAAAAAATATATCAACTTTAAGTTTCTCAACATCTTGCAAATCTTCTTTAGTAGTAATTGGCATCGAATTTTGAAGTCAATCTTAAGTACATATAAAAGCTTGCACAATGCCAGGAGTTAAAATACTCCTAAAGGCATCAAGAACTCTTCCTTAAGTGCTAAATGTCAATTCTAAAGGAACAATAGATATTGGAATCGCCAACACATCATGAGCCATTTGTGAAAGGATAGAAAATCAAAGAGAATTGTTTTTCCACCACTCTAAAATATCTAAATTTTCATCTTCAATTTTGACAGATTCATAAAGATACTTATCCAACTCCAATCTATTATCTTCATCTTCATTTTCACTAAATTTTTGAAATCGTGATATCCTTGTAATTTATTTTTATTATCCGTTACATCACTTACACTTGAAACTTTCTTAATCCACTATTTTGACCACTTTGACCTTGATTTGTTGATAAATTGTAATATAAAGCATACAAGGCATACGTAGAATCTCTCACACCATTTGTCATCTTTTCTCCAAGCCAATCACCATGCAATTCGTTTAATGTAACTACAACATAAAAAATTTTATGTGTTAGATCAAGTACGGCTCTAATATAAATTAACTTATTCATTTTCTTCATGTTTTCTCAATACTTATCAAACTTTTCTCTAAATTTACAAGCCATTGAACAAGTATCATCATCATCACTCTCTTATCATTCTATCAAATCCACTTCAAGGGTACAAATTTCATCAAAATAATTATTAAAAGTGACATATGAATGACTCAAAATAGATAAAATAAGGTCATAGAAAATTTTTAATATTGTCACCATCTTCCTACAAGTTCTCCAATCTCTAACACTAGGCGACCCAAATATCCCATCACCAAGATCCACATTAAGTTCAATACTATATAAATGATCAATTTACTCAAATATCTTAAAAGCTCTCTCAAACTTTTGAGCTGAATCTAACATCGGATAAATTGAATTCCATCTAGATGTAATAAACTTTTAGAATCAATCTTTTCAAAATTTATGCATTCCTTATATTTTCTCAACCTAGTGGGAGATTGTCTAACATACCTCACGATCGCTCAAACATGAAGGATTAAAGGATTTGTATTTTTTAACCCATCAAAAATAACAAGATTCAAAATATGAGTCATACACCTCATATGGAGTAATTTTCCATCCAAGATGCTATGACCCCAATTGTTAAAAACATCTCTCAAGTATCTAATCGTTATATTATTTGAACTTTTATTATCGATAGTAATAATGAAAACTTTTTCAATTTCTCAATCAATCAAACACTTTTCAATAGCATTACTCAAATCAACACCCTTATGTCCATTAACCGGACAAAAATTCAGAATGTTTTTAGATAATTTTTAATCATTATTAATAAAATAAGTCGTTAAACACATATAATTAATTCTTTGAATAGACATCCATGTGTCCGTAGTGAGACAAACTCTTTAACAATTATTTAAAAATTACTTCAATTTTAATTTCTCATATATATAAAGTTGATAGCAATCTCTTGAAATGGTAATCTATGATGAAATTTTAAACCTAGGTTATGCAATTGACATAAGCCATTTAAACCTCAAATTCTCTACGAACTTGAAAGGAAGGTCATTCATAACAATCATGTAAGCTAAAGCATTTCTAATACAAGTTTGATCAAACCTCTATGTGTTAAGAGTGTTTTATCCCCCTTAAACACTTGAATTGGATTGAAGATTCAATTTTGTTTGAGTAGAGTCAAGCATATATGGTATTTTTTACATATGGCCATATGAGATTTAAGTACGGTAGTACCATTTCTAGTAGGATGAGTAGCAAGTACCTTATTACAATAATTACATCTATCATTGATGTCTTTATTTTCATCTTTAAACTTGTTGAAATGGTCCCATACAACCGACTTTGGCCTCATTGCTTTTTTTTTTTCATTTTTATATTCAATTGCATATTTGGTGGAGAGCCGGTAGTTGTATCTACTCGCTGATTCTAGATGGTTGAATTTGTAACTTTAGCATCGAATTTGTAACTTTAGCATCAACATCTAAGGATCCCAACATCTATCCAAATTCATGACTATATTTGATTAAAAATAATTATTAAATATAAGTCTATAATTATTAAAATTTAAAACGAGTACCTTGTGGACGAGTAGCACTAGGTAATGGCCGATACTAGCTAGTTGCCATCGCCTAATAGGCGATAATGACCAATGGCCACTGCCTAGTAGCATTGGTTATGATAGGAGTTCAAAAAGGTGAAAAGAGAAATGAGACAATATGAACAGGTACTTCAAGAAAGTAAAGGAGAGCAATTAAAAAAGACTCGTTGATGTAAAAAAAAAAAAAAAGGTCCTTATTTTCAACACCTTGATGCTCTATTTAGAGAGAAGACTAAAAGGGTTAAAAATTCGGTTAAAGTTATAGCCTTAAGAACTTTTAATGCATATCATAGGTGGCGAGGAGATCAACGACAATTAGAATCGCCTATATAATTTCAAAGTGATAAGAAACAATTTCATTCAATTTAAAAATTAATTATTCTCCTCATCCATTACATGATATGGCTCCCATCAAAGTTTATCAAAAAAATCTAAAACATATTTGTCATATACAAACGATCATCGATTAAAGTTATGCTAGACTTTTTACAAAAGATCAATGTCATTTTGGATGAGCAATACTATACAAAAGTAACTTTAGGGGTAATAACTAATAGCCTAATAGGTCCGCATCAATTGACAATTAATGCCCAGTATGTATTTAGAAAATCTCTAAACAAAATGGCATTAAAATCTCTATTTTTATGCATATGATAATTACATCATATTATAATGAGTAGCAAAGTGATAAGAAAAGAAAGTTTGAACTTAAAAATTTTTTAAGAGGCAAAGGGATCCCTATAAACCTAAGCATTTGAACTCTAAGGAACTCAAAAAAAAAAAAAAGTATGTGAATGATCGACTTGGTATAGTTGTTTAATCTCGGTGATCTTTATATACCTTATACGCCTATCACGTTTACATGCTCTTGCATGTCAAGCACAAAAATAGTAACAATTGAATCGACATGAGTCTCTATTGTTGCTAACTAGCTCACATTTATCTTCTAAGATAATAGCTTAATATGAATGAACTAGCCAAGATAAAATGAAATGCGGAATCACATTTGGATAATTGCTTGCATCCGGATGTAATCCTTGGCCAATTGTAGCTTAATTAAGTTCTATTTTTTCGAGTTGTGGAAGAAGTAGCAATGCCATTGCTATCGCTTACTAGTCCAACAACCTCAAGTGCTCAACTTCGACAACAATGAAGTCTTTATGCGGATCGTAACAAAATTTCTTAACAAAATACGTAAAAGAAAACAAATAATTCAAACGAACATCATAAATCTCATGGAAATCAATTTAGATCAAATTGAAATTAGTTAAAATTATAAAATAAACTTAAAAAGAAGATAAAAGACTAACAAATCAAATTAAAAACATCAAACACTTATAAGAGAGAATTGAATAAAAAGTGAAGTAGAATTGCAAATCAAAATCGAACCGAAGTAGATCAAGCAAAGTCTACCAAGTATATAGAAAGAGAGAGAAGGAGAGTATGGTTCGTTACTTGAAAAGTGGCGCCAATGGACAATGGTGGACTTGGATTTTAAGTAGAACTCGTTGCGAGTAAATCGGGAGAGGAGGTTTGATTTTCCTCTATGGCTCTACCTCGATCGAACGATTAAAGATTGACTCGCAATTTATGATTTGGAATTAGAAATTTAGAAGGAGATTTTAGGTTTAGGTCTCCGGTGTGAGCGTGTGGTGGAGACTCGGAAAGTGAAAACCGGAAAGCATGACTATTCACTAACTCATGATCGTAAGCGTGTGTGAGGGGCTAAGGGATGAGGCAGTGAGGGTTGAGTTAGTGAGGCATAAGGTGAAGTGGAAGTCGGGAAGTGCCGAAGTGGAGTCAAAAGTCACTCGTCGTTTGAAAGGGAAAACTAAAGGGATGAGTGAGTGTTTGAGTGATGAGTCAATCAAGTTAAAGAATTTTTAAAATATATATATATAATTTTGGTTATTCGGTTTAATTGGTTTTTTTTTTAAAAAAAAATCAAACCCAAAACCAAAAATTGGCTATATTTTGGTTCATTTTTTTAAATTTATATATAAAAAAAAGCTATATCAAAATTGATATTTCAGTATGGTTTAGCTCGTTTATTTGATTTTCACTAGATAATGAACACCCTTAAATAAGGATAAGCGTAAGAGAAAGTTGAAATATTAGTAGAAGGATGAAAAGATTAAATCATTCGTTAGGGACAATGTAATGTCATAGTCTAGGAAGAGCAAATTTAATATTTATTTTTATGCTCATTTTAGGACCAATTACCCCCATTATTAGAATTAAAATTAGGCACATACCTGTCGTAATTTATACCACGCCCTTGCTCATAAAAAAATCAACCCCTTCAATACTTAGTCGTCGCTAATACGATCATTGGGGAATCCATTAGCATTGTGAATCAAATAGCCGGATGAAAGAGAGAGCAACAAGGCCATGTTTGTTGTAGAATGAGATGAATCAAAGAAGGATTCAAATGTTACAAACTCATGGCCCAAAAAAGATCGTAAAAATCAATAAATTTTACCAATTTCAAGCTATAGATAGAGTAGTGGTAAGATTTTTGAAGTCACTTGATAAGCCTTTGAATATATATATAAGTTCAAATCAATATTTGAAGGTGGATGGTTAATGGTAATGAGTTCAACGCCGTATGATTTTACACACTATAGGTACCGAGAGATATGTTTAGTAGGGTCTTGGCATAGTTTTTGTAAAGCAAGGTGCAAGGTCACGAGGCATGTGCTATAAAAGGAAACAAGAACAAGTTCAAGAACAAACCACAAATATTTTGAAGTGATGTAATCGGTGTTCATTGGAAGAACCTCACTACAAAGAGAGGAAATAAGTATGCTTATTAGTGATTGATTTTGTTGAATCCAAACAAGATAAGATGGATTTGTTTAAGGTGCACTAGTTTCGAGTAGATAGAGTTTGGCTTAAGAAGTAGGGAGTAGACCCATCAATGAAGTCAATAAGACCTTAGCTAAGTAAGAATGGTTTCATTTGAACATGTCAAAGTAGAAATTTAGTGTTGGTAAGTTTTAGAGAGATAAAGTGATAAGCATGAGTTAACCGAGTGTTTGGGTGTTGATTAGTTAAGATTTGCGAGTTGTATAGTAATGGGAGAAGAAGTGTCCATTAGGATTTGCTTAGAAAGGATGAATTTGAAAAAAAAAAAAACAGACGACGATAAGACTCGCCTTTAAGGCTTTCATACCAAATTAAACCAAAAAGAGATGAATGAATAACATCTCACATAATCTTATTCTAGTTGTGACTCTCCTTTTTATAGAATTACAAAGGTGTAGATGATAAAACTCTTTGAAGAGTTACAATTCTGTCTTATAAAAATTATTAACTACTATTACAATCTTAATCTAGTTACTATTACAAACAAGTGGATGTTATGGATAATGTTAGGAGCATCCGTGATTGCTACTTTTGTTATAAAGAGAGTCATACTCCATCTCTATAACTAGCGAATAAGAGTTTTCGTGGTTGTTCGTTGCTATAGTTTGTTGTGACTATTGTTGTTTTTAGAGAAGAAGACGTCTTCGGTTAATTCTACTATAGTGGTGTGACTTAATATAAGTTATAAATATATCTTGTATATAAATACTTCACCTTTATTTTCTAATCGATGTGAAATAATTTTACTAACATTAGCACTCAATGGGACATAACAACTTATTCTTGTGATTTACCACGGTAAATCATTAACCCCCGAATCTATGAAAAAACTAAATTCTTATTTATTTGGTTGAATTAAGAGTGTTAATATTATGCATAAAAAAAAGAATTGATTAAAATGAAAAGTTTAATTAGTTATATAAAGGCTCATATGTACTTACTCTTTTAGGATTTTAAAAGAAATTTAGGTAAGAGTAAATATTAATTGACTTTTTATAGTTTTTTTAACACCTACAATTAGCAATATAAGAGGGTTCCAATTTCCAAATTAATAAATTTCTCCACTTTTTTATATAAAAAAAAAGTCAATTAGCTATAAAGTACAATTGGTTAAAAAGAAAAAGGTTTTTAATCTTTTTTTTAATGATTTAGATCTTTAATCTTTTTCCTCTTTTTTTTGGTCCGTAATTAAATTTTTTTATCAAGTTGACTAATTTTAGTTAACACGAGAAACACGTGAAGCCATTAAAATAATGGCACATTGCTCGAAAACTCAAAATACATGACTCATGTTTTTATTTTATGGCTTCATATGTCTCTCACGTGTATCCAATATAACTTAAGATTGATTTTAAAGTACTATAAACTATTGGTTGAAAAGAAAAAAATTTCAAGGTTTTTTTTACTGATTTAGGTCCTTAATTTTTTTGGTCCGAAATTAATTTTTTCATTTCGACCATTAACCAATTCGAGTAACGAGAGAGACACGTAGAGCCATTAAACCGAAAACTCTAAATACATGATGCATGTTATTTTATAGTTTCATTTGTCTCTCACATGCATCTAATATAACCTAAGATTAGTTAACAAGACGAAAAAAATTAATTGCAAATAAAAAAAATATTGGGGTCCCAAATCAAAAAAAAAAAAAGATTAATTTTATTTTTCTTCTTGACCAATAAGTTAGAATACTTTATAACCAATTGGTAAGAGAGAGAGAGAGAGAGAATAACATATTTTCTGAATTGATCTGGCTGAGATAATCTCTCTTTTTTCTTTAACACCTTGTATGTTGTTCCACGCGCATCTTCCTACTCGCTAATCACTAGTGAGGTGGGAAAATTTTTGGCACAACATAAACCTCATATCTGAGGTCATGCATGCATGGAGTCGCATTTTATGGGACACAACCCTAATTCATTCTTTTGGGAAGAGGTCTAATTTGTCTTTAGTAATGGCATCACATGGTACAAGCAACCAAGTTTATCTCATGCGTATCATATATACGTGAAAGGTTGGGAATGACAGGTAGCCATCAATCACTAAACTCAATGGCAAAAAAAAATCAGACTAATTAAACCAATTAATCATCGGATTTTGTCTTAATTGAGATTCCATGAGCACAAATTCGACAAAAGAGTGGCCGGCTAAGACAACTTTCTTAACCTATGCTCTGCCCAAGTAGTAAGAAATCACAACATTCACTAGTTTAAAAAATAAACGAATTAATATAAGCCAAAATAGCTTATATAGGCTCCATATCAATCCAAATTAGACCGCAATTATCCTTGTTAACAGTAGTTTTAACTCATGTTAAACACACATGAAGCATAATATATAGAGAATCCTTGGTATCGTTTACTTGGCATCGATCTATGGATCTCTTCTTTGTTAACTAGTTTAGCTTCATTTTAGCTAGATGTATCTACCATGCAACTATGCTTTATAATGAATGGATCAAGGATTTAGACCAGTTGTCCAGATATTTTGATGGTGATAATAATCCATGTGCTTATGCTCTTATGGGTTTTGTCATACATGGATACCATGCATATATTTTCAGCCATGTCTTTGATTTCAGAAAGGAAAAGATAAAAACTAACAAGATACTGAAAGTAAAAATGCAGTACTTATCTGCTTGCTAATTGACCCTGCCAATACTGTTGTCATTTTAGTGACTCAAGGTTCATTTATGTGTAACTTTTTGGCTCCATACTATATGGATAATTATTGAACAAGAACCTTTGCGTATATATATATATAGTTCCAAGTAGCAGAAAACTAGCTCTCGACTCCTCTCTCCCTCTCCCTCTCCAAATTTCGACATATTTAGAACACAAAAGTTAGCTATATATGGATTTGCAAAACCTAGACCTCAAATTTCTTGAAAAACTTTGCATCCACAACCAGATATAACCCTAGCTCTTCAATCCCAACCACCAATATTCATCAGACAACTGTCAAAATGAACAACTCGAAAAGGCCTACCTCTCTAGCATCCTCTTAATTTTCTTTTGAAGCTACCAAACCTTCCATGCACGTTAATTAAAATCAGAAAAAGCCCTAATAATTCTTTTTCTTGATTAGATCTCAGTTTTTTGTTAGCCATGAAAACTGAACTAAGAGGAAACAATACCTCCATTTCTCTTGAAAACCCTAGTCTCTTCAACAACCCTCAATGCTCTATCTCGGGTGCACTTAAAGGGTGTCTTGGTAGCCTTGATGGAGCTTGTATAGAGAAGCTTCTACTTCATTGTGCTAGTGCCTTAGAGCACAATGATGGGACTTTGGCTCAACAAGTGATGTGGGTGCTCAACAACGTTGCTTCTTTGGTTGGTGACCCTAACCAAAGGCTCGCTTCTTGGTTTCTTAGGGCACTTATCTCGAGGGCATCCAAGGTTTGTCCTACCGCGATGAATTTTGATGGTAGCAGCACAATTCTGAGGAGGCATATGTCTGTGACCGAGCTTGCGGTGTACGTTGATCTAATCCCTTGGCACAGGTTTGGATTTTGTGCATCAAACAGTGCCATTTTTAATGCAGTTGAAGGTTACTCTAAAGTTCATATCTTAGATTTTAGCATCACTCATTGTATGCAGTGGCCTACTCTTATAGATGCTTTAGCTAAAAGGCCTGAAGGGCCTCCTTCACTTAGGATTACAGTTCCCTCCTGTAGGCCACCAGTCCCTCCTTTTCTTAATGTATCATGTGAAGAAGTTGGTCTCCGTTTGAGCAATTTCGCCAAGTTTAGGGATGTTCCTTTTGAATTCAATGTGATTGATCATGACCCATTTTCTTTTACTTCAAGTGAAATCATGTCCAAAGAGTCTTCTCATGACTTTCATTTTGAGTTACTATTGAATCACTTGACTCCTTCAATGCTAAACCTTAGAGATGATGAGGCCTTGGTGATAAATTTCCAAAACTGGTCTAGGTATTTGTCCGATGAGCAGAAGGGAAATAGTGTTCAAGATTCTTCCTTAAGAGATGCTTTCCTTCGTACAGTAAAAGGTTTCAATCCTTGTATTGTAGTTGTTGTCGACGAAGATTCTGATTTAAGTGCACCAAGTCTCTCATCTAGGATCACTACTTGCTTCAATTATCTATGGATACCATTCGATGCTTTAGAAACTTTCTTGCCTAAAGATAGTTGCCAAAGGATCGAATATGAGTCCGATATTGGTCATAAAATCGAAAATATTATCAGTTTTGAAGGGGTTCAAAGGATAGAGAGGTTAGAATCTGGGATTAAATTAGCACAAAGGATGAAAAATGCAGGGTTCTTAAGCGTTCCATTCCGTGAAGACACAATTGGTGAAGTTAGATCCTTGCTAGAAGAACATGCTGGTGGTTGGGGCATGAAAAGGGAAGAAGATCATATGTTGGTGCTCACATGGAAGGGTCACAACTCAGTTTTTGCCACAGCTTGGGTCCCAAGTGGTTTACAGGACTAAAAGGGTCTACACTAGATGATAAAACGTCAAAAAATGAGGCATGAGTGGCTAAATGATTTGGGGCAAGATTGTGATGGGGTTGGTTTATTTAATTCCTTTCTTTAAGATGGTCCTGATGAAGATCGTGAAGTCACAAAATTGAATTGCTTTTTCTCTTTGTCAACAGGCTGCCAATGGGCACAAGACAAGTAGGGCAGCGGCAGTATTCTGAGAATGACCTAATGTTTACCTATGCGTTTGCTCTCTAGGTATGCGCACATGGAAGGAAAAGAGAGAAATGTCCGTTTTGTCTTTGTATGAGACAAAATCATCTGTCACTTTGTTTTCCATCCTTTTGTTTCTGGAATTTTGAAAATAACATGCTTAATTGCTAGCACCTAGCCCTTTCTAAATCAACATTGTTGTTATTTGTCCTTAATATATATATTATCCAACTTCCAGCAACCTGTTTTACATAGAATTTCTATATCGGGTTAAATTTGATCTACAAAGAAACTAGAAGTGGTATGTCCATGTCTAATTCTGGTTATATATCTCTTGTATGGAAATTTTCAATTTTGGATTATTGCGTGTTTGAAAGATGGTTCGAGTGGATTTAGTTAGATTTCAATATTTGGTGCCGCGGAGAAGGTTGGAAGCCTTAATTCAAAGTCTAAATATATACATTTTCTTACTTTTCTAAGCTTAAGTCTATATACAGTATAAAGATAGTATCTATATATTATCGAAATATGTGAGACAATAATATAAAACTATTTTTCAAGTTTTATTTAAAATTTAAATTTTTGAATTGAAATAATTTTTTAATATAATATCAAAGTCTTGATAATTATTCGGTCATGAGTCTCACACGTCTACTTTCTTTTATAATTAGATAATTAATCACAAAACAATAATAGGTTTGTATAAATTTTATATTCAAATGGGTTTTTATTTGAGAGAATATGTTAAAAATAATATAAAACAATTTTTGATACCTCACCCTACGCTTAAGTTTTTAAGTTTTGATAGTTTTTTGAAGAATTGTAGCAACTAAATTAATATGTTTTTCCACTTTATCATTACAACTCAATGTTGCTTGATGTACTTGACATCCTCCAAAAATATTCAAGTTGCTATAATTAACTTACTTAGAATCAATGTGTTTAGTATGGTCATTCCATTGCACAATATTATACTCAGGGTTCGATGCGAGGGGTCAAAATACTTAGCTTTTGTAATTCATATTATCCTTATCTCACCAAGTGAATTTTAATTTTCAAAATCTGAAAGGCATTTTTTCAACTTGATATTTTCTTGCATATGTTACAACTTAAAACTCCAATATATAGTTACAATCAATTTAGAGTTTGCAAATTAAGGTTGTTGAAAGAATTCAAAAGAAAACAAAGGTAATGCATGGCTCAAATATCGGGAAACAAATAGGACCACATTACCTTCGTTTGGATGACCAGTCACATTCACGCCTCAGATGTACAGCTAATTGGATGTGGCAACACACGAGATGTGGAATATGATACTCGAGTCCACATCTACAGAAAATGTTGAGTCTCCACTCTAGTAACTTCATTAAATGGCATAAAGCATGCACAGAAGAAACAAGAGAAAATTTTGGAATCTTCAAGAAAAAAATGTGGTAAACTATATATACTTTTATCCTTATAAATTCATGTATCAATGTTTTACTTCTATTCACATAGTTTAAAACTTCTCAATGCTACCTCTAGACTTTTTAGAAACTCACTTTTGTTTTTTATTATTAAATAACTAATAAAGACTTGATCTTTTCATTTTTATTCCTCTTATCATCCCCTGCATATTATAATATCTCATAAAAACAATATTAACAAATTTAAAAAAAAACTCAAAAACCAAATTTGAAAAGTAGGCTAAATTTTAAGGGAAAAAAGAAGGAATAATAAGAATTTTTTGAAAATTAGAAGAGTAACATTGAGAAAAATTTTTGGTTTTTTTTTTTAGGTATTCTCATTGAGAAAAGTTATTCCTTGGATTTTTCACCCCAAATGCCAAGGAGGCTGGAGTTTACCTTAATTTCAGTCTTTCAGTCCTTTTACTTGAATGATTTGCAAAATTGAGAAATTACAGTGTCATCAAAACATTATTAAAAACCTTTTTTTGGCTAAATAACCAGACGTAGCTAGGTAAAAAAAAAAAAAAAAAAATTCATACCATATCAAATTTAGTTACATTACATTCAAGCTAGCGTCACATAATAACAACCAAATTCAACCCATAGATAATATAATCAATCTGTTAGGAAAAGGAAAAGCAAAAAAACAAAAGCAAAATTTTATCTCTTTGAAAAGATTTAAAAGCAAGCTCTTTTTATGCCGACTTTGACTTATTGTTCTAGCTAAGAGTACGTAAAAATATGCATAACTTGATATGAGCATTCAATCTTAATAATGTTAACAAGATTCCACTTTCCACGTGTAACCTCTCAAAAAATAATAAATAAGATAAGATAAGATAATTGTATTATAAGTACTTAAATTTTTAAGAACAATTGAGCACATGAATTTTATTTATTTTTGTTTTTGTTTAAATACAATGATTTTTTTTTTCAAACCTATCAATTAAATAATTTTATACCTAACTTCTGCCTATTATTCTATTATTTAATGACGTGCCAAACTATTAAATTACAAATTTAGCTTTTTATTTTTGGAGGAAACTTTTCCTTTTAAATTATTTTATTATTTTTATTTTTTTTGTATGGTAATTACTCAAATTGTCATTATAGCTAAAAAGTAAAAGAGGACAAAATAACGGGAAAGAAAAAGTTTCCTTTAAGAATAAAAGATAAAAATCACAATTTAAATGTTCAGGAAAAAAACACATCATCAAATAAAAGTTGGATAAAAAAATATTTGATCTCCAGTACAGTCAAATAAATAAAAACTTAAAATTTATATATTCTTTTAAAAGCTGTTAAAAATTATTATACGTACGATATAATGCACTTATCCCCTTAAAAAAAAAAAAAAAGGTTATTTCAAACTTTTTGAGAGAGAAGTGTCATTGTACTTATGGGCCATTGTTGGATCTAAGATATGTAAAGGCTCTCCATACAGTTAAATTGGGTAGGCTAATTAACGAGATGGGCTTACGTACGTAGGTTATGGAATGTAGAATTTTCAATTTTCTTTCCCCTTCACGTGAAACCTCTGAAGTTATGCCCCCCAGACACCATTTCTGGTGCATATTTATTTTGTAGCTAATAGGATATTCTTTCTTTCTTTCTTTATCATGAGTACCACATGATTTGCCTACCATTTTGTGACATCATAGATAGATGAATTTAGAAGTTAAGGGAATGACTTGTTAGGTCAATTTAATTGATGGACCACCTCCCACATGTATCATGAATCAATACATTCTGTTACATAAGGGAAATTGTGCCCAGAAACTGCAAAGGATTGCTTGAGATGAAAAAATGAAATTACCATTTTTAAACCATGCTTTTATGGTCACATACTTGCAATTTCTTGGGGGCTTGCTTTTCTATTCACTTCCCTGAAGTGGTGGAAATGCTATTTGGCTGCCCATGCAGCAAGCACATTATCATGTGAAGATCATTAAGTCAATGGAACTACCATTTTTATCCTATAGTTAGACAGGTGAAATGGAAGCGCTTCGTCAATGTTCGGCACTGATAGGGTTAATAGCACACTTTGACACTCTCTCTCCCCTTTTTGTCATTCACTAGAATAGCTACAAATGAATATATATATATATATTCTTAATTTTTTATGGTAAATAGTTCAAAATTTTTTTCAGATTTTAAGTTATTTGAGAATCAATTTTTAAATTTTAATTTTAAATTGGACCTTCTTCTAATTATTTTTTATTTAAAATTAGATCTTTTTATTAGGTTTCTATTAATTCTAATGGTGAAAGTACATGTAATTTGTATGTTGTTGATTTTTTAATTTTTCAACAACTAAAAATATATCAAAACTTATGGATATTTTTTTTCCTCCAAAACTTGTTTGCTTTTTTTTTTAATGTAACTTAATTGCTTACTTCTTAGCAAAGAAACAAGTTTTGAAGAAAAAAATAATATATATAAGTTTACGTATGTTTTTAGTTATTCGAAATTGTACCTACACTTTAGAATCAAGATCCAATTTCAAATAAAAAATAATTGAAGAGAGGTCTAATCTTAAATTGAAAGTTGAAAGACCGTTTCTCAAATTACTTGAAGTTTAAGAAAAGTTTGAACCACGTAGGTATTTTTTTATGTTAAGTTTATTTTTAGATTGTGTTTGGTTTGGAGTATATAATAAAAGAAATGAGTAGTGAATAATTAGAGGTGAGACAAAAACTATTTTTCTTTCTTTTTTTTTTTTTTTACAAAAATGAGTTAATTTTTTATATTTTCTTTTTAAGAGGATGTGCGTAATAGACGAAGGGGAAAGGCAAAGGAAAAAAAAAATGGATTGCTTTAATACATGCAAAAGAAATGAAGAAAGTATTGCATGGGAAGTTGTAAGATATGTTAGACTAATTATGGCCCCCATGATAAATGTATATAGAATGATACATGATACATGTATCTAAAATATATAATTAAATGTGAACCATATTATACATTATATTTAAAGTATATCTAATTAATTAAGATATATTTGATACATGTATATATGTAATCATGATACATGTATTGATTATAATACATGTATAGTTAAAGTGTATCTAATTAAATAAGATACATATAATTCATGATAATACATGTATACTTAAAGTGTACCTAATTAATTATGATACATGTAATTAATAATAATACATGTAGAAGTCTTGATGGAAGACTTGGGTTAAGACTATAAAAGGAGGAGTTGGTCCTCTCTTTGACTCTCAATGAAAATTATAGAACAAAAGAAAAACTAAGGATTTCCATCATTAAGTAAGAGATCAAAAGAGAGAAATCATTAATTACATATTATCTACTTCATAGTACCGATCAAGATTAAGCATGA